TATGAGGACTATTACAGAAAATTATATGCCAATGAATTGGACAATGTAGAAGAAATGGATAAATTCTTAGAAACATTTCTTCTAAAAATCAGGAATAAATAGAAAATCTGAACAGATCAATTTCTAATGACCAGATTGAACTGTTTATCAAAAAACTCCCAACAAAGTCCAGAACCAGATGGATTCACAGGTGAATTCCACCAAACATTTAAAGAAGAGTTAATACGTATCTTCCTCAAACTACATCAAGAAATAGAAGAGGAGAGAAAGCTTCCAAATACATCCTGTAAGGCCAGCCTTACCTTCACACCAAAACCATACCAAGGCAGTACAAAAAAAAACTATAGGCCAATATCCCTGATGAACAAAGATACAAAAACCCTCAACAAAACATCAGAAAACCACATTCAGCATTACGTTAAAAGGATCATTCACCACAATCAAGTAGGATTTATTCCAGGGGTGCAAGGATGGTTCAGTATTCACAAATCAATCAAAGTAATACACCACATTAACAAAACAAAGGATAAGAATCTATGATCATTTCAGTTAGATGCACAGAATGCATCTGACCAAATTCAGCGTCCATTCGTGATAAAAATTCTTAGTAAGGTGTGTTTAGAAGGATCATACCTCAACATAGTAAAGGCCATATATGAAAAACCCACAGCTAACATCATACTCAATGGTGAAGAACTGAGAGCTTTTCCTCAAGATAAGGAACAAGACAAGGATGTCCATTCTTGCCACTTTTATCCAACATAGTACTAGAAGTCCTGGCCATAGCAATGAAACAAGTAAAAGAAATAAAGGGCATAAAGGAAGAAGTAAAACTGTCATTATTTACATTATTTACAGATGACATGTTACTATAAGAAGAAAACCTAAAAGACTGTACCAAAAATCATTAGAATAAATAAATAAATTTAGTTAAGTTGCAGCATACAAATTAACATATAGAAATCTGTTGTATTTTTATACACTAACAACTAGAAGAGAAATTAAGAAAACAATTCCACTTACAACTGCACTAAAAGAATAAAACACCTAGGAATAAACTTAACCAAGGAGATGAAAGACCTGTATTCTGGAAACTATAAAATGCTAATGAAAGAAATTGAAGAGGAAAAAGCAAATGGAAAGACATACCATGCTCATGGATTAAAAGAAATAGTATTGTTAAAATGTCTATACTACTCAAAGCAATCTACAGATTCAATGCAATCCCTATCAAAATACCAATAGTATTTTTCAAAGAACTAGAACAAATAATCCTAAAATTTATATGGAACCACAGAAAGACTCTGAACAACCAAAGCAATATTGAGAAAGAAGCACAAAGCTAGAGGTATCACAATGCCAGATTTCCAGATGTACTACAAAGCTGTAGTAATTAAAACAGTATGGTATTGGCACAAAAATAGACACATAGATCAATGGAACAGAAAAGAATCCAGAAATAAACCCATGCTTATAAGGTCACTTAATCTATGACAAAGGAGACAAGAATATACATTGAGGAAGAGACAATCTTTTTAATAAATGGTGCTGGGATGGAGCTCCTGGCTGGCTTGGTCGTAAGAGTGTGTGACTCTTGATCTCAGGGTCATGAGTTCGATCCTCACTTTGTGTGTAGAGATTACTTAAATATTTTTTTTAAATAATAATAAATGGTGCTGGGAAAACTAGATAGCTGCAGCCAAAAGAATGAAACTGGACCACTTTCTTACACCATACACAAAAATAAACTCAAAATAAAGACCTAAATGTGAGACCTGAAACCATAAAACTCTTAGAAGAACACATAGGCAGTAGTATTTTTGATATTATCTTAGCAATATTTCTCTAGGTATGTCTGCTCAGGCAAAGGAAATAAAGCAAAGATGAACTATTGGGACTAACCAAAATAAAAAGTTTCTGTACAGCAAAGGAAACCATCAACAAAACAAAAAGGTAACTTACTGAATGGGAGGAGATATTTGCAAATGAGATACCGATAAGGGGTTAATATCATAGTATATAAAGAACTTACACAACTCAACACCAAAAAAAACCCCACAAATAATAATATTAAATAATGGGCAGAGGATCTGAATAGACATTTTTTTCCAAAGAAGACATACAGATGGCCAACAGACACATAAAAAGATGCTTAATATCACTAATCATCAAGGAAATGCAAATCAAAACTACAATGAAGTATCACCTTACACCTGTAAGAATGGCTAGAATCAAAAATAAATAACAAGTATTGGTAATAATGTGGAGAAAAAGGAGCCCTTTGCATTGTTGGTAGGAATGTAAATTAGTATAGCCATTGTAGTAAACAATTGAGAGGTTCCTCAAGAAATTAAAAATAAAAATATCATATGATCCTGTAATCTCACTACTGTTTTATCAGAAGAAAATGAAAACACTCATTCAAAAAGATATATGCACTCCTTTGTTTATCGCAGCATTATTTACAATGGCCAACATATGGAAAATACCCATAAACAGAACAAACGGATGGTTAACAGGGGAGATGTCTGGGGGGATAGGCAAAATGGATGAAAGGTAGTAGGAGGTACAGACTTCCAGTTACAGAATGAATAAGTCAAAGAGATGAAAGGTACAGCATAGGGAATATAGTCAATGGCACTGTAATCAGTGTATAAAAAAAACTACAGTGAGATGGCTTTACACCTGTTACAATGACTATAATCAAAAAGATAACAAATAACATGCTTGTTAGGATGTGAAAAAAGGGAACATTTGTGCACTGCTGGTGGAAATATAGTGTAGTCACTATGGAAAACTGTATGATGATTCCTGAAAAAAATAAAAATAGAACTACCATATGATATAGTATTTCCACTTCTAGGTATTTATTTGAAGAAAAGGAAAACACTAACTCGAAGAGATATATGCACCCCCGTGTTCATTGCAGCATTATTTACAGTAGCTAGGACATGTAAACAAAGTGCCCACTGACAGGTAAAAGGATAAAGAGGATGTGGTATACAATGGAATATTATTCAGCCATAAAAAATAGTATCTTGCCATTTGTGACAACATGGATGGACCTCGAGTTCATTATGCTACAGGCAATAAGTCAGAGAAAGACAAACACCATATGATTTCACTTTCATGTGAAATCTTAAAAAAAGAGAAAAGAATAGAAAGAAAACCAAGGTCATAGATACAGGGAACAGATTGGTGGTTGCCAGAGGTAGGGGATGGGTAAAATGGGTGAAGGGGGTCAAAAGGTATAAATTTCCAGTTGCAAAATAAATAAATCGTGGGTATATAAAACACAACATGGTGACTATAGTTAATACTACTGTATTGCACATATTGAAAGTGGCTAAAACGGCTAATCTTTAAAGTTTTCATCACAAGGAAATTTTGTAACTAAGTATGGTGATGGATGTCAATTAGACTTACTGTATTGATCATTTTGCAATACATACACATATTGAATTGTTATGCTGTACACCTGAAACTGATATAATATGTATCAATTATACCTCATTAAAATAAGTGGATAAATAAATTAAAAATATTTTTTTAAAAATTTAAATTATCCAGCAAAACCAGGTTCAAGGCCACGGTTATAGAATTAGGTTATTAACTTTCACTTTTGGAGTGTGATCTTGGTATGCAACATGCCTTTCTTGATCTCTACCCTTATATCCTCTTACAAAAAAACAAAGTATTTGGCTCTGTATGCCTTTGACTTCCTTCAAGAATTAATCTTAACTTGTAGTCATTGAATGACTTCCATGCAAAGTATTAAATTACTGAATGGCAAACATGAAAAGAGTTGATAGGCAGACAAGAAAACTAATCTTGCTACCAAACAGCATAGTGAATTTCCATAATTACTGTCTAGTAAGAAGGAAGCTAATTCACACAGCTGGAGGGGATAATCAGCAACTACACTCTAGACTCTTGACATCACAGCAGTTATCAAAGTGCAGGCATACTCTCATTCTCATTTTACTTTGTTCAAGAAAGAAAAAGCCATCTTACTTTAACAAGATGTTTTTAGCCAAGAGGTGTTTATAATCCTGGAGTGGCAGAGTTGAGGTGGGTAGCTTACAATGGGGATAGAAATGAAATCATTTAAGAACCCTTTTATTCCACTACAAATGGGGTTTAGTTATGATAGTATATGCTCTATACATAAAATTAAAATATGTTATGAAAATCTTTAAATTCTTAGCGTCTTAGAGGATGGAAAGGATTTTTCTGTTTCCCTCCTTAATTTCATATCCATCTCCACAAGGTACCTTATGCTTTTATCTCTGCTCTTCCCTAGAAAACTACCAAAAAAAAAAAAAAAATCCAAAGAGCTTAGCTCATGTAGCTCAGTAAAACAGGTGCACCAAGATAGTTTGACAAAACAAGGCACCATGTAATTTAAAGAAGTTGTTCTTATCAGCCAGCTATGTTAATTCTACTCTATTCAAAATACAGAGGAAAAAAATGTATTTTCCATAAATGAAACAGTGGAGAAAATGAGACCTTTAAGCATGTAGGAATATCTGTAAACAGTGACAAGTAAAAAATTGAAGTTAAGAAACTTTCATTATTGCTTTAAGTTTGTTTGTAATTTTAATGGAAAGAAAATGATGCAGACAGAAGACAAAATTACAGAAATCCAACTTTTTTAATCTCCTAGGCATTGATGTGTACAAATTTATATCTTTTTTTTATATAAACCATCCATCTCATTTAGATACCACAGGGAAAGTAAGCTTGCATGCTGGCTGGATATTTGTTTTTGGTGGGGGAAAAGTGATTTGAAAGCTGATTTTGTTAAACCAGCAGCCTATTCATCTAGTTGGTAATATTTAGTAGTCCTGGAAAGTAAAACTAGTGAAGAAATAAGATCACTAATTATTGCATTCCACCGGTAAGTTTAAATAAGCTATTATGGGACTGACAGAGGCATGCATAACAGAAATGGTCCCCTATTACACATTTACCTGATTATGGTTTTGTTCGCCCTCCAGGGAGATACAGTTCTGAGAGTGACGTGTGGAGCTTTGGCATCCTCCTCTGGGAGACATTCAGCTTAGGGGTCTGCCCATACCCTGGAATGACAAATCAACAAGCCCGGGAGCAAGTGGAAAGAGGTAAGCCAAAGACGGGGGGTAGCAGTGTTCACATCCAGCCCCCAGGGGCGGTGCTCATGCTGAGTCTGTGGATTTCCTGGCAGGAGGAGGGGACATCCTACTTGGGTATGCAGACAGCAGAGGTGTTGATCAATCTGCTCTTGCATCCCATGGGTGGCGCGGCCCTTCCATAACAAAAACCAACAACAGCAAAAGAAACTTTTAAAGATTCCAGCAGTTTAAAAAGAGAGCTGTAGGCTTTCCTTCTATCCCCCCTGCCTGGCCTGACATCTGCAAGGTTGTGCCATGCACTATCTTCAAGCGGAAGAGAGTAGCGTTCCTCAACCTCCTATTTTTTGTTCTATGCCAAATGAACACCACTAATAGTATTATAAATTGAAATGTAGTTGGACTTCAGAGAGAAGTTTTTGAAAACTGTGTAACATTTCTGAAGACACCATATGCTGTTCCCAGATCAGAAACAGGAGCCAGTCGGTGCTGGTGGCCCACTGGCATGCACTGGTGTAGTCTGCAGCGCTCACCACAGAGAATGCTTTTTGACACAGTAATGCCCTCATGGGAGGCCCCTCTCGGGGAGGCTGGCTGTAGACCTGGGTGCAGGAGGAGGACTCGCAGCCCCTTCTTCCCCCTCACCGCCATCTTACTTCCTGCGGGAACACACACAGGCCCGCCCGCGCTGCCCAGCACACCGTCAGACAGCTCTGAGTTAACGATTCTTCTTGGGCTGTCAAGGAGTAAAATTCCTGTTCATTTTCATTTCACTTTTAAATTAGTGCCTATAAAATCCTTATCCTCTCTTCGTCTTCAAAAACCTGGGTTGTATAGATGATTTTTTAAAAAAAAATCTCTGCCCACAGCATCTAAAAGCGAATTCTAAAAGCAAATACTTAGAGCAACTAAAATATGCATTTGTATGTGATTTATCTTACCTCAGACTCTGTGACAAATGAGCAAATGAAAAATAAGTTATTCAAGCTAGAAGGTAATTCAATGGCTCTGTAATACTGAATTCTGTATCAGTTGTAAAACAGAAGTCAATTTGCCCTGAAATGGGCTTTTTGGGTTTCTATTACACCTACAACATAAGGTACCAAAGATTACAAACTGCATGATGCCCTGTGTGAACATTTATATCTTATCTCCATTCTAAACTCCCTGTTCTGTTCCTCTTGGGTCTTCAGGGTACCGAATGTCAGCCCCTCAGCATTGCCCAGAGGACATTTTCAAAATTATGACGAAGTGCTGGGATTATAAACCTGAAAACCGCCCCAAGTTCAGTGAACTTCAGAAAGAGCTCACTGTCATCAAGAGGAAAATCACACAGTGATGGAGCAGTGCCAGCAGCCTCTAGGACCTGGTCCTCCAACAGAGTGACACTGTTCTTCTTGTTAACAATGAGTTTATACCACATGACCTGCAACAGTCTTCTAAGGTGATTTTTGTCATTAACTGTTTTTTTTAAGTATGTGCCACTTACAAAAAAAAAAAGCAAAGGCCAATGTATTCCAGAAACAGACACTCTTACCAAGGGCTTTACTAGCTCACCCCAGCAATCCTGCCATTTCAGGCCATTGTAAATAGAAAAGCACAGCCTCTCAGTGGGAGGGACGATCAGATCTGTTTCACACCAGGACCACTGATGTGTCTCCAAGGTTTTCTACTTGAGGCACAGTTCACGGTCAGCTGTCATGTGCCACAGACCACCCCCCCCCCGTCGGTGCTGGAGCAGCGCTGGGAATGCCGTTGTCTGCGGGACACGTTCCAAGCAAAGGTGGCTTTTTGCTCTGCCAAGGCAAGATTCTGTTTGTAAACATCATTTTATGCTGGGAATTAGTTGGACCTCGTAGGGTTTTTCTCTTCTTCCTTGCCAGAAAGAAGTGCAGTGTGAGAAACGTCACACTCCTGTATTATGAGTAAGGTGGAGCTGTTGCCCTGCTCCTCGGTCCGGGCAGCGGACAGTGCTGCATGGAATGTCCTCAAAGAGCCCACTCCTCGGGTTGAACCAGCAGCTCTTAAAGGGTGTTTTCTGAGAGCCGTGCCAGCAAGAAGGAAGCTTTGAATGGGAGGGGGGTCTGGAGAGGGAGCAGCTAGAGAAAGAGAAGGAAAATATAAAATCTGCCTTCTTATCAGAGTTATGCCTTTACAAACACACACACACACCTTTTATCTTACGGTCTGAATTCACAGGGAAAGTTCTAAAATGTTTTCGGAAGTTCACAGTTAGAGCCTAATGGCAGCAAAAAAATGTTTTAGCGGAACTACAAAGCCCAAGTCCACAGAAATAACAGCCTACTTTTGCTTAAGTACCTTCACCTCAGAAGAGACATCCCGGTATTTAATGCCCTTTATTTGTATCATTTTCCAGAGCTGAAAGAATTTTGTGATTCTAGTTTGTCAACACACTAATGTGTGTACACACATGCACGTGTGCCTACACACACACACACACACACACACACTACCATCAAGCAGGAGTGAACAGTAAAGAAGTCAAGTGAACATTATTGAAGAAGATATCGGGACAGCTCTCCTGTTTCCACTTTCCCCCTTCATTTACCCTTACACTGCTACCAGGAAATCCTCATCTTAGCTGACAGGTATGCGAGCACAGTTCTGGAGATGCTGCATGTGAATCATATGTAACACAGAGTTAAAAGTAGGATTCTGTTGAGCTGCAACTCATTTCTATTGAGTTGCATCCAGGGAACTTACCCCATGTTCTGTATATAGTTGCCTCTCAGGATAAATATGTGTGTAGGAGATGGTCACGCTCAGGGGTCAATGTGGCTTGGGAGCTTTTAATAAGTGCTCCGGCCTGTGTCCAGATAAATAGCACCTTAGTGATCGTTTGGTTATATCCGTTAGAAGAGCTTATGGGATAGAAAATTCCTCCTGCCCTCTCCAGCTGTTCGCTGCCTATGAATACCATCGCACAGAACTCACACCCAGTACCCTAAAGAGTATAAAGGATAATACTGAAGAGAACAAATGATATGTCTATCATTTCAACTTCCTTGCAAGTTTTGTACACATTTAATAATTACTACATCCAGACTAAAATGAAAACCAAGTAAACTTGCCCTCAAAAATATATTGCAATATCCAAGCAACTTTTTAAAAAATCAGCATTGTCTTCCCTTCTGTCAAATATGGTAAATAAATGAAAACTTCTTTTGATGGCCTATACCGTGCTAAATCAAAGACAGACGCATTAATTAAGTTCTATGGTCTTCCGGCACTTGCCAGCCTTCAAAGGAAAAGAGTCAGATGCGACATTTTTATCCTTTGTCAGTATTTCCAAATGAACCTCTTCGTAATATTCTTTGTTTAAAGAAAACAGCCCCTCATCACTTATTAGCCTTAACGCTAAGCTCTCAGCAAGGAGAGGGAATGACGGTTCTGGCTTTAATTTTGTGAACAAGACCTGAAGCTTAATCTTTGCATTCTGGTGTAAAAAATGAACATGGCATTGATATTTCACTCATCCAGGCTGTTAGAATTTGCAATTCATATCATAACTCTGTGCTTAAAGAAGCTTTTCAAAACATCATGACATCTGCAGCATTTAAATTCTATTTTATTCTTTGTCCCAAAGCAGGCAGCAGTATAGTTCAGGATTAATAACTCATTGGGAATCTTTCAGGATAAGTTGTATGGAGTATTAACTTTAATATAGGCACATGCATTAAGAAAAACTTATGCAAACCATTTTTTACTGTTAATTTTGTTGTGCTTGGAGCATAATTTATTCATCCCTTCTGTCACTGATAATTATTGGAATTATGTACTTTAAGAGGTTAATCCATACCCAGAAAGCACACATATAAATACTGTTCTGAATTTGCAAGTTGATGTGGGGAAAGAAGGCTCTAGAAATGCACAAAACCTTATAACTTGTTTAGTAAGAAGACAGTAACCAAAATTGCCACTAGACTGGATGTAATTAAGCCAGGTCACAAATCTGTGTTGCTAATGGATTTTCCAAGAGTTGCATTTATCATTCCTATACAGTTCCTGTCATACTTCCTTAAATTTATGAGTACAAAGTGGGGGTGAGGGGGAGATAAGCCCAGGCAGCCTGACTCACCTGCATTTTTCGATCCTGAATCACCAACAAACCATTATGACAAATATTTAGGTAGTTCATCAATTTTCAAGAACAGAAATCTTTTACTGTTAAATTAATATGTATTGCCAATATTTGAAACCTAAAATGAATTTCGTATTCCATGCAATCTAAGGTTACTTCCCAAAGCCAATATATTCTTTCTCTTCCAGGAAAATAATAATAAAGGATTAGCAGGTTTTGTTTAAACTTTTTAAAACCAGATGCCTTATTTCAGTCCATCCCACCACTGAGTCCCCAGTGAAAGGTCTCATGTAATCATTTCCCTCTCATTGCCCAAATTTAATATAGGCAATAAAGTTCTTCATCCATAATTCATCATTTTATGGCAAATACAATATTACTGAAACATCTTACTAGCAGATCAGTATAGACCGTGAGCCTAATTGTATTAGCTATTGTTCAGGACACATTTCACAGCTGTTTTTCATTTGAAGGTTATTTTTAAAAGAAAAGCTAATGTTTAGTCATTGAAATAGGTTTAATTTCCTTTAAGCCACAGTACGGTTTTCTTGTCTGTTGTATTTCGGTTTTGCCATATAGTTTTATATAGTTTGGCTAATACCACTAAAATAACTCTGCGAGATTGTGTCAAGAAGAAACTGTTTCATTGTGATATATGCCCCACGCTGAGGATCTCGTTAGGGGGATAAACATAACACTTACAATGCAAAAATCAGTGACAGCACGTTGCTGTCATTCAGAGTTCTCTCAGACATTCCACTTTCACAGGCTTGCTTGTGACCAGCAGTGGTTCTCAGAGTACACCTGACAACCTCGGGGAGTATGCTCTGTGGACACTATTTTGTGGCCAGGGGTTTTCTGAAGTGAGATCTATATATTCTGCAGAGGCTGTTTGCCTCAGCCCTCTTCTTTTTACACATACTCCCTTGATCACACCACTGATATTTTAGAAGTTTCTTACCAACAGAACTGATTGTCCATAAGCACTGTCCTGTAAAGACCGACTTTTGTATTTAGGTCAGAGCCTTCACACAAAACAGAGAGTAACGGAAAATAAGCAGGACAACAAAGGGGCGAACATTGAAAAAGACACATCTTCTTTATGTATTAATATGTTAATTAAATGGAAACAAAGATTTTATATGAAAGTGAGTTTATATTACATTTCCATTATACTATTAAGTTAGCATGAAAGTTTACCATTAAAATAAAGTTACCTCTTTTATTACTAACTCTGATTTGCTTATGCATACCAGAAATTTTTTATTAAATATTTTAATTTTATTTATTTTTCTCTGTTTTGATTAGTTTCACATCAAGTCTGAATACAGTATTATTTGGGAGAATCCAGAATTGCATATTCATTCCTGCAAAAGAAAATAGTCATGTACAAGATTACCTACTTGAAGGAGATACTGATAGTCTTAGAGTCCCATAAAATTCTCCTTTAAAGAATAATGCTATAATGCAGACAGTGTATAAACTATCTCAGTCATAATTCAATTCAAGGAAATATTTATTACCCCTTGAAAAACAGCCTACCACCTCATAATGATTCAAAGATTAAATTCTGAATTGTTGCGTATAGACATCAAGACTCACTCAGCTCACTAATAGGACAGAGAGTCTTGGGTGGTAGAAGAATCCTGCTGAACTAAATTCCAGTCACTTTAAACCGCACAGAAGTAATGAGCATAGCCTTTAGTTTGTCTGTTAATAAGGAGCTGAGGTGAGCATCTGCAAAGGCAAGAGAGCAAAGAACCTGTTATTCTAAGACAGGATGATGCAGCCCCTACTGAGAGTATGGAACAATTCAAGTGGAACAGAGGCTTGGACAATGTCACTAGAAAGCCCAGGGAGACTGGTGCCTCCAGGCCAGATCCTTCCCGATAGAAAATGAAAAAGATACGGAAGCCAAAGAAGCAAAAGAGGTCACCTGCCAGTGTGTGGGCCTTAGTGTGAGCAAACCAAACACCTCTCTCCCTTGCCTTTGGAGCAGTTTTCTGTCCACGGCTCAGGGATGATGCTGCTGGACCACACCTGCACTCATTGTCTTGCTGACCAGGATCTGGGCATATATGTTCAGACATTTAAAAGACACAACTCCAAATCTCTTTCCATTTGCATTAGTTATATGTGATATTTTTTTTAAACTAAGGTCCCTCATTATTCATACTTTGTTAGAAATCTTTAGTTGAGCCAGGGTGTAGTCTCCTCAATGAGAGCACTTGGATCAGCCCTGTTTCACCTCCTGACTAATGTTAACTAATTGGCTCCTGGAGTCGTGCCCAGAGGGACCTTCCTGGGGTGAGCTATACTCGGGGGAAACATGGAATTCAGCAGGTAAGGAGGAAAATACCAATTAAACAGCAATGTTTCTTGTCTTTGTACTAGTCATGTTTGAGGGGAAAGAATCTTAGAAACATCCGAAAGCTAGTCGTGGTGCAGCACAGCTGAGGGGAGACGCAGAAGGCAGAGCCAGGGGTTCTGGAGACCAAGGCTGACGGGCAGGCAGGGCAGTGACAGTGCCCACGCAAAGCCGCCCCAGGCTACCTTCCGACAAAGAAATGCAGCATCCGTAAGAGAGCGCTGGTCCTCAAACGGGGGTTTGGGGGAGCTTCCTGCTGCATGTTATTAAACATTACATTCCTCTCGAGCCTTTGCATTTCTTAAAGGACACTGAATTGGATACTGATTTGATTTTCTTTTATGCCCCTGATAATCTCAGGAGGTGGCCACTGCTCAATGAAATTCCCCCGGCTCAGTTTTTCGCGAAGGCTGCAGACATGACGGAGGCTCGGCATGTGCCCCAAGCAGCACACACAAGTGTGGGGTAGGCGGCCTTGGAGGACATTTGCTGGGAAAGCTCCTACTTTTTATTTTATTAAAGAAATCTTGTAGTAGGTATCTCTGCCTGCAGCATGAAGATGGATTTAGCTTCCCTCCTTGCCAGCAAACATGAATATTTATTTTATTCTAAACAGATTCATTTCTGAATTTCTAAACTGTCTTCCCACACATTCCCAGGGAGACCAGCAGATTCAAGGGTTCTACAAAGTAAGGTTCAAAGTGATAGTAAGGACCCTGGTAGCAGAATTTTATCGTGTGTTTTCACTCTGCTTTAGTCATTCAGGAAGCTTTTCCTGAACTACCACTCAGGGACAGGGAATGGTGTGGGGTGCTACTTTTTCTGTTTAGTTTTTGTTTCTTGTTTTTGTTTTTTTAATTTCCAGTTGGTATTTCCTTTTCTCATATGCAGCTACTTAATCCTTACTCTAACAAAACAGAAAAGCCTTTATCATCAGCTTTTATCTGGTAGCGTCCTTAACGGCCCTAGACCAAAGAGTTTCTCCTCAGGTGCTCAGGAGGCCCTGCCTTGTAGGGAACTCCCAGGCATCCATTTACTGAGGCCAAGGGCACGCCCCCTCTGGGAGCGGCCCGTGGTACATACAGCTTAGAATACAGCTTTGTTACCGTCCTTGCACTAGAGACAGGACAATTAGGTGGCAGATGTCTTTGATGAGTGACACTATCAATAGAGGCTCTTGGGAGATTTTTCCTAGGACACAAAGGCCACTGTGAGCAGGCGTGTCCAGGAAAGCAGGCTGCGACTTGGCCAAGTAAGTTCATTAGGTGACCTACCTACCTCCAAAGAAATGTCAAAACACTAGCAATGACCGCTTTATCTTAAACCCCTGGACATAACTCAGTTTTACCATTCCTCTCTTCCATGCCAATATTTTGTGTTGTTTCCTGCACATTCCCTATCAGTAAATGTCTAAAATTATTTTTAACTGTGCAATGTTAAAGACTTTCTCCATAGATTCAGAAAAGAGGGTAGCAAACACGAAGACAAGTTCAGAATAAGCCAACCTACCTAGATACACAGACCCAACAGCACCGCGTTGTTAAAACCTCAGCTCTACTCTACACTCCCCCCAAAGCAGTACCCTTCCTAAAAAGCCAAACATCACACCCTTCTTCTATTTGCTAAGAACATCTTTAATATCAGAATAAACACACTGTAGATGCTATCCAAAGCAGATTCTAAAATGACATACTAAGAAGCCAGACTTTGGTCATCAGACAACAGAAACACCACTTCACCCTTACGTGCTCAGTTAAAACAACCTCGCAAAAACCACACCCATCTAGGCAATCCATCTGGTCCCAGGAAGGAATACCTTATTTTGAAAGCATAGGACACATCAATGGGAAATGTCAATGCTCTGAGCAACACAGAGTAAGTGTAAGATGGCCATAAAAAAGAAATCCCAATTCCCACACTGGAGCAGCAAAAATTTGAGTATGAAAAACGAAGTATAGGAGTCCAAACTCTCATGATTAATATTTTCTTCATACAGCATTTGTCAAATTATACAACCTTGGGGTCTTTTGAGTTGCCTGAACAATCTTTATGAAGATTAAACCCCCCCCAAATGGGGGCTCAAATTTCTAAGTACCCTACATTCAAAACTTTAGGGTCTGAAAGGAGATCTGGAATCTGATATTACCGAGATCCCAGGCAAAGGACCATCCTTGCAGTCTTTGCCAGCTCGCCAATCCATGCCTTTGTTCTTTAAACACAGAAGGGGAAAAAATTAAAAAGCAAAACACCCTATTCTATAGGAATTTTCCTTTCACAAATAACTTGATAGGTAGAAATAAACTTGCCTGCCTGCTCTTAAGAAATGCCAGACTGCTGTAAGGGAATGCAAAGGGCATGGTGCCCAGAACCGTGCTTAATAGGACTGTGAATGTTTTCTCCTAACCCAAAGTACAGCAGACCTCTTCTAGTGTAACTATGGGATGCTTTGAAGGCCCATCCCCTACTAGTCTGAATCGCTTTGCTTCAGCTTCAAGCAAAAGACCATTTCCAACAGAAGTGAACTTATTTACTATAATTCTTCCTCAGGTGCTAGGCCTTTCTTGCAATGTACAGAAAATATGCATGTTTTAGTGGGATTTACTGTTTTGGCTTTAGAGTCAAAGAGATTAGTTCCATGAAGTTCACCTGGTTCCCCATAGCAAGTGTATTTTATAACCCTACAATTCTAAATCCAACCCCGAGCATCAAATCAAATTCACAGATAAAGGGGAGCTGGTAGGGAAGGGTCTTGGTTATTTCCATTTGTGACCAAAGTGGCCAAAGATAGGAAACTCCCTTTCACTTGATGAACACCACTGCACCATATGAAACGTCAGTCCCCCAGGACCATCCTGTGACCTAATCAGACTCTCAGTGCGTGCCAGGAGCACACACTTTTCATGGTCTGTTTCAGCATTTTCCTTCAGAGAGTACTGAGATTTCTCGCTGAAGCAGCTTTGTTAGTCAGACATTTTCAGATTTTATATTTATGTTTAAATACATTAGACGGCCTAATGAAGCAACATGAGTCTAATGGGGGTTGGTGGGGGTGTGAATTCTGACTTTATGTTATGGCTTTCTTTGTGTGTGTTTTTCTTGGTGGGTTCTTGGTGAGTACCCTGGAAGGTTGGAATTCTCTGAAGTCATAGCCATACAACCAGATAGGGTTAGGAAAAGCCAGATAAACACAGGAGAATAAAATTAAACTGTCAGAGTCCCAGGAACAGCCCTGACTTCTTCAGGAACCCAAGCAAATTGAAAGCAAAGATGAACTATACAAATGGTGCCCAGGCCATTTGACTGGGGGTAGCCCACTGGATTTGGACACTGCCATTTTCCTGGCACGGGTCCACAGTGTGTGGTTGCAGAAATGCAATTTTCTGGGTTGTTTCCTCTTCCCTTTGATAGAAGATGATTTTGAGATGATGGGATACGAGTGGGGCCTGCTCTCAGCCCGCCAAGGTATAGATGTTCCATCTGTAAGCATCACTTTGAGCAAAACACTCCTGTGGTTTACCAAGTTTCACTCTAGTGCCAATATTATCAGGTTAAAGCACCTTTAATCTTTTTTGTTGCTGTTCTAAAATAATTTATTTGTGAAGTGGATAAAAGGAACACTGGAAATAGGGTGCTTCTTATAAAAAAAATTTGAGTGTAAAACAGACACAAGGCCTTTCGTGAGTTTATCTGGCTTTGTAAACAAGTCTGACAATGAATGACAGCTAACTATATAAAACAGTTAGTTGTCTGTCTTTGACCATTTTTAACTCTGATCTGTATTTAACACTTATTTATTTGTTAGTTTTTACATTCAGAGGAAATACACTTTCAACTCTGGCTAACATTGTAGAATGTTTTTCAGTTGTTTTCTGATTTTTTTAAACATTATTTCATCATTTTTGTAAACTTAGATCATTTTTGAATAGCCTTTTTCTTTTCCAATAGACCAATTACCACTCATAGGTCTGCAGAACCTTTCTTTTTACTGTATTCTTATAATAAATGTAAAGTATTTGTAGCAAACTGTGCCGTGTCTTGTTTAATCTTTCCATCGTGTTTATATTTCACTTCCTTTTCCATATAAATACGCTCTAAGTAGAAGAAAAGGAAGGAGAGATTTCCATGGTAACTGGCCTCCTAGGGATGTAACTGTGCATAAAAAATTATTAGCTTTCAGTTTCTCTGTAATTAAGCTTATGAGTTCTGATGATAATGGGTGTGTGTTGCTTGGAGTCCAATCACTGCTCCCTCTATTTGGAAATCAAAACCGAAATGTAATTCAAGTCCCATTTCTCTGTGTGGACTGGCTGTTTGCCAGGTTTTTTGTTGTTGTTGTTTCATAACAGGATTTGTTTAGACATAACAAAAGGATTTAGGGGAGAAAGGTGGCGGAGAGGGCTGTTTAGAAAGAGAAGCTGGAAGCGGCTGAAACACGCGGTTGTAGGCATGCGCCTTTGGCTGGCTGGTGCGCAGGGCTGAGCTGGTCACCGAGCCAAGACGCTGGATTTCTGTTTACCCTTCGGTCAGCAAATCGATAATCCTTCTAAAACAGCAAGCTGTTATTTATACAGGTTTCCCCTCATTAAACCAAGTCTTTTCCTCCTCCCTGATCTTGGATTAGAACAGTCAACTGCCCCCTCTCCAAATCACATGTGTTTATGGTTTGTGGGACAGCCCCCAAGCTTCTGGGGACTGGCGAATCCCATCTACCCAGATCTTTTCTACCTCCCTGCACTCAGACCAGAGCTCTGCATTTCTGGGCCCTTGGTGAATTCCTGTTCACGGCAGCTCTTAATTGTCAGTCTGGGACTGCATCCCCATCTCCAGTGGGTTTGATTTCTGACACAGCATCCTTGACAACCTGTGCTTTTCCTGGCTTCAATTAATTAAGACCAGCTGCATCCATCACCGAGGAAGGCTGGCCATCTGACTGAAATCCCATTCCCCAGTGGGGAATAAATGGCATCTGTAAAATTCCCTGGAGTTCTCATGTTATTTCAAGTACCACACTTCACTGTCCATCCTTCTCTAGCTTATGATTTCTTCAGGCAGACAGTGATGATGTGGCTTATAAAAAAACATGAATGTAAGAGCTCATTTCTGTTAAAAGTGTCAATGGTTGCGCCTTCGGTTAAAAGCTGAGTCCAAATGAAGTGTTTTTTTAAACTCTTCAAATCTGATACAACTGGACTGACCAGCACACTTAGGCCAAACTCTTGTGAGTACAGCTGAGGGAGGCTATTGGCACTGCTTCCAAAGGCATCTGCTGTTGATTCAAGCACCAAGCTGGGAGCTAGCAAACCAGGTTGTCATCCCTTGTTGGACTCTCACTCATTTGTAAACTTGAACAAGCCATTTCACTCTTCAAGCCACAGTTCCCTCACCTGTAAAATGAGGTTGGACTAAAGAATTACCCAGTATTCAACTTTTTCTTTTCTTCCCCCCGACCTCCCACCTCTTCTCCCCTCCCCCCTTCCCATCAGCCACTCTTCCTTCCTAAAAGCATTCTGATTTCCAACAGGGTAATTTCCTCTTCAGTATTTGGTGTGATCCTGATGGGACCCTCCCACTGCAGAAGCCAAAGGATCCATATTTAGCCAATTAGATCCTTTCTACCAGGACTGAGTCTTGAAGGACAGAAGGAACAGCTGGAGGGTATTTCTCCTAGCAAAGTATTGCTGTAACCCCAGCTTCCTGGCCCTGCAGAGCACCCTTGGTTTCTCTGCATTCCTAAGCTTTGTTCTCCAGCCTCCCATTGACCTTGGAGCTTTCCGATGTTCTTCCAGCTAATTCCCTTCTGCCCACATTATCTGTAGTCCAGGTCTGTTGCCTGCAGCCAAGGATCCTGACTGACACAACCATCTGTAATGTAAGGCCCCTTCCAACTTTGAGATTCTGTGATCTTCCGAGTCTTCTCAGAGTCATTTTGGAATCCCTGAACAACAGCACAATTTAGGATGGGTTCTGTTCCTTTGCTTCTTATGGTGTAGCTGTCAGAATTCAAGAGTGATGAGAAAAAGGAAAACTCCCTCAAGGTTTCATCATCTAGTGGGCTGCTGATTATCCAAACTAAGCATTTGAATGTTTCCCCAGCTCTGGACCTAGGTAATTCAAAATTATAAATGTTTCTTTTGCAGTCTTCCCATGGTGACAGTAGCACCATAAGATAGTTAAATGGTAAGGTCAATGGACTAGAACATTGTGAGAGGCTAATTGATCTATCACAGTAATATAAATGCCAAGAATTAATAGAAAAATAAATGTCACAGGGAGCCAGGGAACTGACTACCTTAGAAGCTACTCTCTTCTGACCTCCACCTCCCACCTTTGAGTAGGGTTTGGTCTTATTCCATATTCAGAAAGGTCTTTCCCTTTCTTGCAAAACACGCATGCACATAGCCCAAATGTTTCCTTCTAGACCTGGATAAAAGCCAGTGAATAAGCCTATTGGGTTTTCATTCTAAGCTAATTTTCCCAGATATCCTGAAGACCTTCCCTCTGCTTGCAAGTCTTCTCTTGTATCCTTGCCAAATGCCAAGGAATTATTATGACATAGTATCCTAGCACAGTGGGACTCAAAGGAACACACTTATGATGCCTTGCCTTATGAAAGGGAATGAGGAGGTAGTAGGAAGATTTGCTCACTGGTGTCCCATCAGCCTCACAGTCTTACAGACTTGAGCAGGGAAGCCCCTGTCACAGCCAGTCCCCAAACCCAGACTCTGCACACTTCATTAGTCTTCCATGGAATACCATTCAGAGATGGGAACAGCTCATCTGTGATGGTTGAACTATTACTTTTCATCTCCATCAAGTAAGGAGACCAGCAGCCATCTGCTTCACCAGGTTATCTACTAATTTTTTTTTTTTTTTGGCTCAAACTAAATCCATCCTCTCTTCTGTGTAGCTCTGATGCATATAGAAACTTACAAATGGGAGACCAGCAGACTTACAGTATCATTCCTCCTTCTTCAGTTTATTGTTCCCTCCCATTCTTTCTCCTCTTCTCCCTCCTTCTTCTCATTGTTTAAAATGAGTCCTATATCCATATTACCTCACATTTTTTTACCCCAAAACAGATGACCCATGTATATAATCATTGGTGTATTGTAAATATGTATTTCTCAATACTATTGTGGGAAGGCCAGAAGTCATATAAGGTCATATAAGGTAAAAGAATAAGTCATATAAGATCAAACATAAGGTAAAAGAAAAAAAATCTATAAATAAAAACAATTCAATTATAAAGAGCAGAGAAAGGAAACAAAATATGATATTCATTAATTAGAGCAATTAGGCAATAAATTTCACTGAATTCCCTGACAACTAAAACAAACAAAAATAAAAGGGAAGTACTTTGTATTATGAAAAGGGTGGAAAATTCATGAGCTAGGCATTCAACTTAAATGTTTAAAAAAATGTGATTCTAGAACTTTGTTTTCTAAGACTGAACATAAAAGTCACGGTGGCTGTTCTCAACTGGAAGCAATTTTGTCCTCCAGGAGACATTTAACAATGTTTGCAGACATTTGTAGTTGTTACAACTGGTAGGTGCTATGGGCATCCATCAGGTAAAGGCCAGGTGGCTGCTATCCATCCTACAGTGCATTGGACATCCCCCACATTCAAGAACTACCTGCCCTAAAATGTCAATAGTGCCATGTTGAAAAACCCTGAGTTATATGGCTTGTCTGAACTTCCCTCCAGGAGCAGTGGAAGACTTTAACTGGACAAATTTTCAAAAAACAAACAACAACAACAAAAAACAATGGACGACCAAGAAAAAAGAATAAACATCTTAGGAATTAAAAAGTAGATATAAATAACCATTGAAACAGAAGGGACTATAAAGGAAATAAGTGAATACTATGAACTTTTTGCTAATAAATTTGAAAACAAAATTAAACAAAATTGACAAATTCCTAGAAAAAACATAACCTGCCAAAAAAGCTAACTCAAGAAGAAATATTCAGAATAGTTTTATAATAAAGAAATTAGTAGTTTAAAATCTTCCCACGGCATTTAACCCTGTGAATGAAGAGTTATTTCATGCAGAAACTTGTATGCAAATGTTCATAGTGGCTTATTTTTCAGTACTTAAACAAGGCTGGAGGAATTTAATAACAATACCCTTTAACATGGTTCAAATCACTATAAGGTATTCAGGGATGAATTTCCCAGGCTTTGGAGAGAGATGTTAGAAGTATGTTAGTAAGGTACACTATTATCTTTAATAAAAACAGTTTTCCTTAAACCTTCAAGATCACAGAAACATTCAAAATAAATTTTAACCTTGTGCACTTAATTTGATAACAGCCTTTTTCTGAATAGCCAAATACTGGAAACTACTCAAATGTTCTTCAGTTAGTGAACTGTTTAGGAAACCATGGTGTATCCATACCATGAAGCACTACTCAGCATTAAAAAGTGAATTATTGATACACACAACTTGAATGAACCCCAAGAAAATTATGCCGAGTGTAGAAAGCCAATCTCAAAAGGATACGTACTGCATGATTTCATTTGTGTAACATTCAATAAATAACATAACAGAGATGGAGAACAGATTCTGATGCCAGGAGGGAGGGAAAGAGAGAAAGGATGGGTGTGGCTATCGAGTTACAGAATGGATTCTTGTGGGGATAGTATTGTTCACTGTCATATTATAGTGGCAGTTACACAAGCCTCACTCATGATAAAACTGCAGAGAGCTACACACACACACAAACACATGAACGAGTGCTTAGATAATTTGGTGAAATCTGAACAAACCCTATAGCTTGTACCAATGTCAATATCTTGTGGGGGGCTAGTGGAAGCACACACAGGATTTCCCCACCCATTTCTGTGAAACCTCTTGTAAATCTATCATTATTTCAAAGTAAAAAGTTTAAAAAATGAATATGTAAGAAAATAATCTTCTCACAAAGACAATAGCAAGCATAGAGGTACAAGTTTTAGATGTGATCCGACAAGCTTTCAAGAAGTGGATAATTTCCTCTTACAAATTCT